GTTTGCCTGAAGCACATCTACCATTGAGGGTGGGTCCTGGTCCCAAGGGAAGGTATGTCTCTCTACTATTGCTCTAACTTTGTAGGGCGGCCTGGGAAATAGAATCTTGGTTTCCGAAGGCATCTTGGGTGCACTGACCTTTCATCTTCTTTCTTCACCCTGTGTATCCTTCCTCAGAATCTCCATTCCAGAATTGATTGAATGACAGCTGGCCCATGAATGATTCAGCTGGGCAGTGGTCCTGCCAGCTGCCCCAGGCCCACCTATGAAACTTCTCTCCAGGAGCCCTTTCAGAAACCCACCCATTTATTTTTAAATGGAAGATGACCGGACACCTAAGGGTGATGCTGCCACCCTAGTGGACCTCTAGGGCAAGTGTCAAACTAAATAGTATTATTCTTGAGCCTTAAGATCTAGTGGAATTTGCCTTGCTAGGTTTTGGCCTTCCTTAGGATCCATTGCCCTTTCTTCCTTCTGATTTCCTCTTTATAGAATGGGAATGTGTATCCCATGCCTGTCCCATCATTATATTTTGGAAAGACATCATGTGTCTGGTTTTGTAGGTTCACAGCTAGAGAGGAATTTGCCCTAAGATGAATATACCCTTCAGTCTAACCCATATCTAATTTCCATGAGACTTTGAACTTTAGAGTTGATGCTGGAATGAGTTAAAACTTTTTGGATTGTTGGGAAGAATGAATATGTTTTGCATGTGAGAAGGATATGAGTTGGGGGATCCAGGAGTGGAAGGCTATGAAGTGAATCGTGTCCACCCAATTCATATGTTGAATCCCTAAACTCCAGTGTGACTATTTGAATATAAGGCCTTTAGGAGGTAATTAAGGTTAAATGACGTCAAAGAGTGGGGCACTAATCTGAGAGGAGTATGTGTGTATGTGTGTAGGAGATAGAGAGAAAGAGAGAGAAAGAGAGAGAGAGAAAGAGAGAGAGAGAGAGAGAGAGAGAGAGAGAGAGAGAGAGAGATTGAGATTTGCCATGTGTGGACATAGTGAAAAGGCCATCTGTAAGCTATGAAGAGCTCTCATCAGGAACGGAATCAACAGGCACTCTGGTCTCAGACTTCTCAGCCTCCAAAACTGAGAAATAAATGTTTGTTGTTTAAGCCGCTCCATCTATGACATTTTGTTATGGCTGCCCAAGCTGACTAGGACAAGGAGGAAGACGGTACATCTGATGATGGCAGAGTCCTGTCTTGTCCCAAACATTTCCCAATGGTTGTTGAGTTGGTATTCCTGTCTTGGCATTCAAAATGTCAGTAGGTTTTTCCACATCCAGATCTCCAGAAACTGGAGATACTCCTTTTGGTGCTATTGTGGAGTGGTCGTAACAAAAATCCCATAGATTTGACTCTTTTTCATTTGTTTTATTAGCATCAATATATACAAAGTGGAAAATGACTTAATTTCATTATTCTAGCTTAGAAAGTTGGTTTTGCTTTTGATTCTGTTTTGGGATAAAATGATAATGAAATCTTCCCAGGAGAAAGCCTACCTTTGGGGGTGCCAAACAACTCAATAATATCTGACTGCTCATGACCCATCGTGACCACTCAAGGGCATAGAAAAGTCATACTCTTTGGATTTCCGCCAAAGAAAAGTCATTTTTGCCCAAGGCCTATGCTCAGTCTAAGCCTACCCATATATTTGCCAAGTCACTTCCATTTATACAACCATCCTGATTATGTAGCCACTTTGTTTCCTGCGGGGTTGTTTGGCAGTTTCCAAAGCTATCAGCCTGAGGTTCAGTAGGCTCTCCAAGGAGCTGACTTTAAAGCATGTCTATGGAACTAATTTAAGAATGGCCATCAAGGAACGACCAGAATACTTAGGTTGGCTAAATAATTCTATTCCCCCTCCTTTTTTAAAAAAAAAGCAAAAGGATGTGAGCTCCAAGCTGAAGAGGGTTCAGTGTGTGCATTTTAAAAGCACAGGGTGGTAGCTGACAGATCCAGCTTATATGAATTAGCATGTAATACACACCATCACATGCATTCTTTGAAGCTCAAAATCTCTGTAAACGTATTTCCCCACTGTTTTAAAAACAAAGAGTGGCTTGTAGGAAGGTTCAGTCCATTCTCGAGTTTCTCAAGATTGTATCCTGTTCAAAAATATTTAATCCCAATGGGTTTTAATATTGATCTTATAAAAACAGACATGTATGAACTGAAATGAGATGCCTGGTACATTTTTGGCACTGTTATTATTATTCCTTTACCTTTACATGTTACAAATACACATTCAGATATTTTAAAAAAGAAAAATAGACACCAACCTGTCTTTTCAATCACACTGTACATTGTCAAGCTCGCACGATCCATCTTTAGGCTAAAACAAACTTTTAAAATATAGTTACAGGTGCTGTACTAGTAAGACAGAACTAAGACATCGGTATCCCAGAAAAAAAAAAAATCAACACTTTTTCTATCCTTCCAATAACCAATAAGAATTCCTAGGCCAAGGCCTAGCCAGTTTTAGGGGACAGGGTTAGAGAAAAGATTTTACATTTTGTCAGTCTTTACGGAAGGCAAATGTTTAGTTTTCACAGAACCGTAGTAGTTCTAAAATTAAGTATCATTAATAGAGTTCTTTTTTTCCGGATGTCCCAGGGTTAGGGTTAGAATAAGCATCAAACAGAAATAAAAGCAAAACTGGATTCTGCCTTTTAAAAAAAGGTTAGGTTATTTGCATTGTTGGTTTTTCTCCAAACATGACATTGCTCCCTAATGGTCTGGAACGTTTTTCCTCTGGTTCTTTCAGAAAATGGGGTGGGCTCTGAGTGGCTGGAAAGCGACTTTTGATGATCTCTTGCTGTGTGTCACGTATGCATGCCTCAAGGAGTGTAGGTACAGGATCCCTCTCTGGCGGAAGGAAATTATTCTATCCTTAGACCCCAAGACTGAATGAAGTCCAAGCTTCTGGGAAGTGAGTGTGTGTGTGTGTGTGTGTGTGTGTGTGTGTGTGTGTGTACAAAGCCAACTGCCTTATGTTGTTTCAGAAGCTTCCTAAACAAGGTACCAAAATATGGACTTTCAGCCATTCTCTCAATGGTATGGCAGCCAGAAAGGTCTTTTCTTGTTTGAAAACCAGCTGATTTAAAACAATTCTAGGGACTGTAGGAGGGTGCCAAAGAGGACTTCAAAAGCACTGAGCCTGTGTGCATCTCTGAACCAACAGCTGTCACTAGGGAGGTGACTGACAGTCTCAGGAAGGCGAATCTGCCTTGCGCAGACTATTCCTTCCATACATCTGCTCCCCACCCCGCCGCCCCTTCACCTTTTCTTATACCTGTATTTAGAGAAGAATCTTCCTTGTTAGTCACACTCTCACTAGTCCCACTGGGTTGGGATGAAAGGACCCTGATAAAATAAAGGGTGAAAAACAGGGCTCACCCAGATTTTAGGACATGGCACCTTCTCTGCAACACAAACCTCATAACCCGGTGAGAGAAGCAGCCGTGACGCTGTGGATCTATCTTCACAGCTTTGTGGGTAGCCTTGCTGAACAAGGTGATTGATTCTGGCACTTGTAGCCAAAATTAGCTGCTCCTTCAGCGTTGAAGGAGGGTCAACAAAAAGAACATTTTATTAACTTGATTCCCTCACCCAGTGTTCCCCCTCACCCAATTCTTCATCGGAACTCCAAAATTTCTCATCCTGTCTGAAAATTTTTCTTTGCCATTTATCAGCTTCCCAGAAAGAAAAACCTTTTCTTATTTTGCCAGCATCCAGTAAGATAAAAGAGAATGTTTATGTAACACCCTTGCTGCCTTCGGAAGGACCAGGGGAGGCTAGATGTGGCAAGACTCTTTGGAAGCTGGGAAAATTGGAAGAGCAAACCCAGGATTTGTTTGGGAGCAGACCTGTTTAAGTATTCATGCGAAATTCCAACCCTACCTAATCTGGGGACTTAGCTTTGTACTAAAAACACCATGGGCATGGATCCCAAAGATGCATGCAATTTGATGCAGCCATAGCATGGCACTACTGATGAGAGCGACCCAACCTGTTTTTGCTTTTTTTTTTTCCCTTCTGCTGCTGTGTTTGCCATTTGGTAGGCCTTCCACCTGCCTTCAGAACTGAGGCTGTAACATAATCTGACTGCAGCTGCAATACATCCAACCACACATATTTCAATTTTAAATATAATAAATACAGTGAAGAAAACAGCAAGTCTTCAATAAAGAATCTAAAGAAAAGACAGCCGACGCTCTGGGGTTTTTCAATCAAATGCCATATGGTCTCTGGATGAATTTCTTGAGGAGGTTGTAGTTGAATTCACATCTGTACGTTCCTTTCTCAACGGTAGCTCTTTTTAGATAGACACTTCATACTCTCTGGTTTCCTGCAAGCGAGAGAAGCACAGCTCTATTAAAGAGTGACCCATTAATGGTCGAGATCTTCACCCCTCCCTGTGTCCACGACATTGGCCATGTGACTTTGCAGTGCCTTCCTCTCTGACCCTGACTTGCTTTGGCCAATGGAGTATAAGGAAATGGGTCGCAAGAGGGGCTTGAAAAGTGCTTGTGTGTTTCTGCTTGCGTCTTGCCTTTCTGCTGTCACAATGAGCAGAGCATGCCTGACAGCCTTTAGTCCCAGCAAGAAGATGAAAGCCATGGGAAGCAGAGCTGAGTCCCATCTAGAGGATCCCAGATGTGTGAGTGAGCACAGCTGAACCAGGACTACCACCCAATTGAAACTGCCTGAAAACACTGCCCCCTGACTAGTGAGCAAATTAATGTGTTGCTTTGAGTGACTGAGTTTGGGGGTTGTTTGTTACTCAGCATGATTATAGCAGTAGGTAATTGATAAACTATACTGATAAGTATTAAAAAGGTCTAAAGTGCTGTTTTTCATCAGCTTGACTTTCTTTTAGGATTTGGAAACAAGCTAGAAAGAATGGAAAATAACATGACTTCTTACCAGTGTCATATCTAAAGTAACTACTATATACGGGTAGGAACCAGTCCAATTTCTCTGATATTCACAGAGTGTGTGTAATATACTCCAGGCCCCCGATCAGAGGAGCAGGGACATATAAGAAGTCATAGGCTTGGCCCTGGAAGAGGTTGCTGTCACATGCTTTAATGGAGGTCTGTAGTTTCTGCTGAGTCAACACAGATATGCTTCATCGTATATGAGAGTGTGGTAGGCAGACTCTAAGGTGGTCCCCGTGGTCTCTATCTCCTGGTATTCATGACCATGTGTGATGCCTTCCTCTTATATGTGGACAGAACCTGTGATTTACTTCTAACCAACAGAATACAGCACAAAGATTCTAGGATGTCACTTCTATGTTTTATATTACATAGGACTGTGAGTCCTATCTTGCAAGGAGACTTTCTCTCTTGTTGGCTCTGAAGAAGCAAGCTGCCATGATATGAGCTACTGTATGGAGAAGGCCATATGAAAAGGAACTGAGTGTGGCCTCTAGATGACAGCCTAAAAGAAACTCAGGCCTTCAATCAAACAACCTGCAAGGAACTGAATGCTGTTGACAACCATTAGAAGTGAATCCTTCCCCAGTCAGGCCTCAGATGAGACTGCAGCCCTGACTGACACCTTAACTGTAGCCCGTGATCCCTGAATCAGAGGTCCCAGCGAAGATGTGCCTGGACTCTTGATCTACAGAATCTATGACATAATAAATGTGTGTTGTTTTAGGCTCCTAAATTTGTAATAATATTATTACACATCAATGACTAACACAGGAGGTCAGAGGAAGGGGAATGGTGAGGGAAAGTTAGCAGGGACAAAGAATAAGTCAAGTCAATACCCTCCTCCCCATTGGAAAACGACTATACATCATTACACAGGGAATTTGAAGGGTTGTGGCTTTGCAAAGTCATGACCAACCTTCTGGTTCCTCACATATACCTCTTGGCCTTTGCATACGTAGTCCCTTCTCCCTGGCATCTTCTTCAACCAACATCTCAGTTTTACTCACCTTACTCGTCTCAGCTTTACATCACTTTTCAAAGATGCCTTCCCCCTCCCCTTACAAGTGTCCCCCATCATATATTCTTATAGCACCCTGTCTGATTTCTTTCATGGTCCTTAAAATTTAGGATTTATTGCAATCAAGATATTCATCGGCATATTTGATCATTTGAGGTTGATGGGGAGGCAGACTAGTATAATGATTAATGCCATCAGATAAGAGTTTGCATCCAGGCTGTGCCTTCTGGCTATGTGCAACCTTGGCCAAATCATTTTTTCCTTTCTCTGAACCTCAATGTCTTTATGGGTCAATCAGAGAGAGCCGAAGAATCTATCACAAAGGGTTCAGAGATGCAAGGATTCAAGGAGATCATACATTGAAGGAGCCTGGCCCATGGTACAATTATTATTCTTGTTATTGATATCTATCTCCTTTTCAAGACTGTAAGCTTATTAATGGTGGGACCATGTCTATTTGGTTCATGACTGTGTCCCTAGTACCCAACACAAAGCCTGCCACTCGTATGTGTGGGCATGTTGCACACTGCTGACCCATAAGGAGTAGAGCTCACTAAGGTGTGTGGAAATGCTGCCCATTGTCACCAGGCCACCAGTGGGCTCTGATCCATTTCAGCTGTCTCTCCATGGGTCTTTGGTACAGCCCTTTGTTTCTGTGATCCTTCTGCCAAGAGTAAACAACATTACAGGCTTGTCATTGGCTTGCAAAGAGAGCTGGGTTCTCTTAGCAGTGATTTCAATAGGGATCATAGTGGGAGTAAGACAGGACCCCTGGCCATGCCTTTCTGCCAGTGGCATAGTGAGCAAAAGGAAATTACATTTTCGGTTTTGCTGTCAGTGAATTTAGAGCAAAGAGGGCGGCACTGGGGAGAGAAGAGAGACCAACTCACCCCTGTCTCATAAATGGGGTTGTCAAATTCAGTCTCCACGGTGATCTGGCTGTAGGGATGGGAGTACATCAGGGGCAAGCGGAGGTTGGAGTAATAGCGACATCTGGAGAAGAGACGATAAAAAAAAGACGTTACTTCTCCGAGACTAGGAGACACCTTATAATACTTAAGGAGAAGAGTTAGTGCCACTTTACGAGCATTAGCACCTCCACTAATGACAAGGAGGATGTGTGGAAACAGCCTCTTGAAGGCGAGAATTAGTGGGATGAAAGCTGAAATCATAACTGCTCTCAACTTCTAACCCAGTCGGTGACAGTGAAAGCCTCAGTATCCCCGCTTAGTGGAGAGGGGGTGGAGCTTAATTTGTTTTCCCTTGAAAAATGATTCAAGTCCCTCTTTAATGCAAAGAGCAACAACAATAATGAGCACATATTGAGCACCAACTATATACCGTGTTGCCTCAGAGTAGCCTTCCCTGACCATTTAAAGGTATTTCTTCTGTTACCAACACTCTCTCTTTCCTGCACAGTGTTTATCACAGTATGTTATAATTTGTGTGTTTCTCCTCTCCCCCTACTAGACTGTGAGCTCCATGTGAGGAGGGACAATTTATCTTAGGCAAATGCCTGCCTCAGGGCCTTTGCTCATGCTGTTTCTCTGCCTGGAATCCTCCTAGCTCAGATATCTGCATAGCTTACTTTTGCATTGCTTTCCAGTCCTTACTCAAATGTCATTTCTTTGTGGGGCCTCCTCTGCCTACCCATTTAAGGTGGAACAACTATCCCTACCCCAGCTCCCTTTATCTCCCTGCATTTATCACCTTATAACGTAGTACTTTCTTTTCTTATGTGCTAGTGTCTATTTGCTCCCATTAGAACCTGGGACCCATGATGGCAAAGACTTCCTGCCTTCCTTCTGTTGTCCCCCGCCCCCCCCCACCACAGTAATGTTCCTAGAGCCCAGAAAACCGCCTGACACATAGTAGGTGCTCAATAATTGTGCATGTGAATGAATTGGTGACTATCGTAGGCATGGTTTAATATCATCCATCTTCATTAAAGGCAAATACTGTGATCCCCAACACCTGTAGCAATGTCTAGTACATATTAGATTGTCCATCTGAATTTGTTAAAAAGGGAATGAAGGAATGAGTGAGTGAAGGAATGAATAAGTTGGTGTGCCTCGCAATGTGAAATGCCTATCTCTGCCACTAGACCACAGCTTCTTGAGGTCAGGGATAGCATCTGTCTTATTTGCTGCTGCATACCCCACACTCCTCCCATGGAGGGTTGGTAGGTGTCTCATATAGATATTTATCCCAGAGTTGAGTTGAATCACACCATCCCTACAATCACATAAACACCACTATCCCCAAGCGACAGGTGGAGACCCTGAAGTTCAGAGAGGTGAAATGCCCAGACCCCAGGGCTCTGGTGGTTGAGCGGATGGCAGCCCTCAACCTTCCCCGAAGCCCCCTACCTGGTGATGTAAATGTAGGCTCCTCCCAGCAGTAAGGAGATGATGAGGACGGGGAGGAAGATAGCCAGTGCCATGTTTCCCCCTTCCAATGATGTCTCGGCTGCCGCTTCTGCTACTAAACACACAAGCCTGTGAGGCCCTCAGGTGTCACATGCTCAACCCACACGGGTACCTGGCTCCCATGTGAGCTCCCGCCCTCCTAGTCATGCATCGACTCAAAGAACTGACATCACAGAGTCTTGGCCATTGGAGAATCATCTCCACAGGGGGAAGAAGTGGAAACTAGAGGAGATGGTGCTGATTCTTTGCAAGGGAGTCCAGACCCACCCTGGTCATGGAGGTAGGGTGGGATAGTCACAGGGGTTATGGAGAATTCTATCATACCATGCCCATTTTTGAGAGAATGGGGTTATAGTTGAAATCTGGTTAAAATCCAGTTCAAGGGAAGACTGGGAGAAAATCCCAAATGTGCTAACTGGGAAGGCAAATTTACTTGACACGCCATGGAGCGGACAGGAGGAGCTTGTTGCACCCAGACTAGTGGGTCCCTCCCAGAGCTGCTCAATAAGACTCTTCAGGAGAGGGAACAGGACAGCTGGGGCAGTTCTCAGTTCTGCACACCCCGATGACTCCCCAACTGTGAAGGCCCAGTTTTGATTCTCAGAGGCCATGGCCGCACACTGTCTTGGCCTCACCTGGAGCTTCCTGCAACCTTCCAACGTTGGTGGAAATTACAAGAACTATGACACTTGTTGTGGGGACCGGGAATGTTTTCCCAGCATGGCTTGAAGGGGACCTCGCATCCCTTCTAGACACTCGGCTGCAGGTTTCCTCTGCTACTCTCCATGGCCAGGTCTCATAGAGCTTGGCTATAGGCCAATCTCTAATCAATGAACTGCCATTCTACAAGGCCTGCAAAATCGACCCTAACACCCATGATAAATGCAAGGGCACAAAACACTATGATGGTGCTATAATGTCTGAGCAATCTCGGGCCTTTGAGATGTTCTCATGGTTCATTGGTTGGGAAGAGGCAAAGAAAAGCCCGAAAGAGACTGACACCACGAAATGTTCTCTCTTTCCCCAGTGGAGTGACTAATACATGCTCCTCCCCGACACTTATATTATGAGCCTTGGCTCCGCCTGCTTGGATTAAAATGTCATCTGTTACAAGGAAGAGCAACTGATGCCATGTAATTCCCACAGCCCCAGATTCTGAGTGAACTACTTATTGTCTGAAAGCAAAATGGCTCCAAAAATAATAATACAAGCTATTTAACTGGTTAAAACTTTTTTTTTTTAAACAAAACAATATATTTTATTTATTTATTTTTGAAGTCATAGCCTGGGTGAGTGGTTTCATACCAAACTGGATGGAGATTATATAGAATGCAGATGTTTTACATATGGGAGGGGCTGGAAAAGGAAGAAACCACAGAATAAAAACACAAACAAAATTCTGGATAGCTTTCAGCATCTGTCTCACATTAATAAATCTTACTTGGTAATTCCTCATAGAGGGAGAGCAGAGAACAAGAGGGATAAAGGGACAGATACAGAGAAAGACTGAGGGGAAAACAGACCACAGAACATCCCCTGGGCAGACCTTCCCTTTCTGAAACCAAGAGGATACTCAGCCTGAAAGGTGAAGCGTCACCTGATTTAGTTTCCCAAAATAGTACCACGTGGTTGAAAAGTTTTACCATAGGGTCATGCCTTTGTCAGGCATAGGAACTCTCAGACTTTCTTATCCCATGAACAGAGCTGGCGTCAAATCCCTTTCTGGTCAGTTAGGACCCTAAGTTGCAAATTCAATTTTTTTTTTACAGTACCGAGACAAAGTGAAGGCAGATTTTTATGGTTTATCTCTTGTAAGCACCGGGATCGGGATATTCAGAACCTGCTCTTGTTTTTTGCTATTAGTTTGATTTATTGGATTTTTTTCATTATAGAACTCACCTTCTAAAGCGTGTTCAAAGCTGTCTTGATTAACTGAAAGAGAAATCGAAAGCATTGGTCAATGTCAAGTAAACTCATTGTGCATGAAATGAAGCCAAAAGAACAGTAGCAAAAGCCCATGCCACGCTTTGCTGAAGTTAGTGATATGTTTTATTTATCTTGGGCTACTGGAATTAGTGGAAATGCCTGGACACTTTACCTTCTCGGTTCCTGAGAGAAGATGAGATAGATAGTCAGAATAATTACTGAACACTTACCATATGTCAGGTATTGTGCCAAGAGCTTTATATATATTTGCTCATTTAACCCTCGCAACAATCTCATTAGGTAGATACTATTCCCACCACCCCATCCCCCGCCCCATTTTACAGATGAGCAACAAAAATTCCGAGAAGTGAAGCAACTTCTCTGACATCCTGCAGCTTCTGAGTGATAGAGGCAGGTTTTAAACCTGGACTGCTCAACTTTCTCTGACATCTGCTCTTAACTCTGTAGTGCTGGTCTGTTCAGTGTTTTCATGTAGAACAAAGGCTGATGAATGGCGAGGGTCAAGACAAAATCCAGAATCCAAAATCAGAGGCGAAATTGTTTTCTTGCTTTAAAAATACATGTTTATGTGAACCTGTCTGATTTCAATTTTATTTCGTATTTATTTGACTAAGGTGTATATTCCCTGTAAAACTATTTTCATTGATTGATAGCTACAGACTAGAACTCTCTGGAATTCATTCATTTCCCTGTATTTCCTATAAAACTTCTCTAGAAATTCAAGATGATGGGGGCTAGTGTCTCTGTGCTTTGGCATCAAAGTCATCATGGTAGCTGAGTACAAAAACACGGCCCCATGGATGGGTTTCAAGGATGCAAAACTCCAGAGTGAAGGCTTAGACAAAAAGATTGCATTATAAGGAGACAGAAGGGGGTCCCACCAATGGCCCAGCTATATTTATGATCTACCAATAGAGAGACTTCCTAATTAGTGCCTCGGTCAAAGCTACACTCTGACTTACATCATTACAATATGATGGAAAAAAAAAAAAACACTCAAAGAACTTGACAACCAACCAACCAACCAACCAACCAACCAACCAACTTCTGTTTTACCTAAAAACCCTCCTGATCTCAGATAAAGGCATTTGACCTCAACCCAAAAAGCAGGGAGGTTCAAACCCGAGAGGGCATCACAGTCAGGGAGACAGCATCCATGGAGGCTATGAGCACAAAAGAGGCTCTGCAGGTACCATACCTGATTCTAAGGGACTCCAGTCCAAGAAGGTGAGGCTATTTTAAATTCTGTTCAACTATGCCAGATAAGTTAATAACTTTAAATACATCTCTTTTTTTATTTAATTAAACCAAACTTAAATCAGCTTTAATATTAATAATCTCCCAGATCATGTGATGCTGAAAAGCATTTGGGTTAGTTTCTGCTGTATTTCTTAATTTATATAAGCGTTTAATTTCTTTAAGCCTTGTAACCCTTGGGAACAAAGCGGTTGTGAGAAAGGGGTGCAGGAGGCGGGAAACATTTAAGCCAAGTTGTGAAAGCAAGAGTCAAAAGCAGAATGGCTCTCCTTTATGATAAACATCTAAGCTTGAAAGAGCTCTTTTAGTAAGTAAAAATAAAAAGGCGAAGCAAGGAGAAGGCATTGTGTCATAGTTTCTTTGGCAGCAATTGTCTTCTTTCTCCGTGGTGCAGAAAACAATGGTAGTGTCTTAGAATTAAAGAAATACAGTAGCTCAGCGTTTTAGAGAAGATTCAGAATCCCTCCAAGTCAGTCCAGACATCTCCGGGCCCCTCAGTCCCCATGTCGTGAGTAGGTTTCTTTACCTTTACAAATAGGCAGGGGCCCGTTCCAGTGGGATGGCTGTCCCAGGATGCACCGGATAGTCACTTCACCCATGAGCTCGAAGCCCTCGTAGCACATGAAGGTGAGGGACTCTCCCGGCAGGTAGAGTCGCTTGTACAGGATTTGGTACCCGTTTTCAGGTAGCCCAGGGTTGTCACATGCCAGGGACTCTTCCGCTGAAATGCAAGCGAAAAGGAGCTCTGGTGAGATGATGCAAATCTTTGTGGACTCCTACTCAGAGTCTGTGTGATCTAACTTTCGCCAGCCTCTCCAACATCCCCGCCCCACTCCCCTCGCACCCCTACATGCCTATCTTGCATCAAACTGTTTCCATTTCTCAAGCTCACCTTTCTCGCTCCCACTCTGGGCATGGGTTATACATGGGCACGATATAATGTACTGGGCTGTGGAATCTGGATTAAAATCTTGGTTCTGCTACTTACTAGCTGTGTGACCTTCTCCAGAAAAGGCCACAACCTCTTCGAGCTTCAGTTTCCTTATCAATAAAATGGGAATAACAGTAGTACCTATCTCATAGGGACTTAGAAGATTAAACAAGAAATACTTAGCATGCTCTTGGCATGTCCTGAGTACTCAGTCAGTGATGGTTGTTGGTGGTATTACATTATGAAATATTTCTCCTGCTTCTCACATTATACCTCACTTGCCCACCCAGCCTAGATAAGTCTTGTCTTTCAATACTCAGTCTTCATTTCTCCACCTCCAGGAAATCTTCTCAGATGCTCCCTACTCCCAATTGAGTCACTAGTCTTCCCAGTTCTTCACCCACTCCAGCAGTGCATATACAGTATTGTATTTAATCATTTAATGCATTTAATTTCAGTTTCTCCTCACTGGAGATGATCCCATTAAGGCATGTTTGAAGTTTAGGGCCTGGCATACAATAGGAGACTCATCAATGACCCCAATGTATACAGTAGGAGCATCAAAAACATCTCTGTGGGAAAAATATTGACCTCTCTGAGCCTCAACTTCCTCATCTGTAAAATATGCCATCTCATAGGGTCATTATGAGGATTAAATGAGCTCATGCAAGTGAGGTGAGCAGCATTGAGCAAGCACCCAATAAACACCGGCTACTTGTATGGCCTTTACAATTTTTGTCACATTTTCATACCAACCGTGCTATTGTTTACTTAATGTTTTGTTTTCTATTGACTTGCTTTGCTATACAATTTAGCCTCACCCTAAATAATATTCTAATGATTACAGGTTTCAAATGTCAGTTTAAATTAAAAAAACAAAACAAAACACCTAGCAGTTAACCTGGACACTGTCTAAAGCCCTGTCGATACCATGTTGGTGTGTATAATACTCCTTGGGAAATGCAGCCCAAGGCACCCTACAGTTTATGAACACCCAGAGTATAGAATTCAGTCTTTTTTATTTCTCCAGAGGACATTACTCTGCTTCTATATGTCAGGCTTGGGTGCTAGGAGATGAGTTTAGAGTGGTAAACTAGAGCATAGTTTTTATTTTCCCAGAAGTCCGTCTGGTGGGAGAGAGACCGGCGCTTAGGTGATTGCCTGCGACCCAGAGCGGTAGCAGCTGTGATGTGAGAAGCACCGAGGAGAAATCTCAGTCATAGTGGGAAGGTTAGAGGAGGTTTCCAGAGGAAACCTGGAAATCCAGCGCTCTGCTAAGTGAGAGGGAGGAGTCAGCCCTGGAGGGGTGTCGGGGTGGGTCGCTGATCTGATTTCCCGCTGCTTCGGTCCCTCCTGGGTCTCGGAGGGGAAGTAAAGACCCTTAAGGCAAATCCTATGTATTGCCGCAATGTAGCAAAGTGGCCAGTAGGTGGCAGTGGTAACTCAGAAGAATTTCCCCACACCCTTGCCCGGCATTTCCTTTTATAACGTAACAGACCAGTGAGTACAACAAATATTGTTGAGCACCTCTATGTGCCAGGCACTGTTTTTGGTCCTGGACATATAGCGATGAACAAGATAGATAGGGCCTCTGCCTTCATGTATCTTAATATTCTACAAATATTTTCTGGATGCCAGCCCTGTGCCAGGCACTGTCCCGGCCCTGGGAAGGTAGAAAATGACAAAGGATAAAATTTTAGACCTGGATGTAGAAAAAGATGTTGCCAGCAGGTTTAGGAAGATGACGGGAGGTGTCCCTAGCTGTCCTCACCTGTTCTCACCTGGCTGTACTAGAATCCTCCCTCCACCCCCACACAGGTTATTCAGGGCCCTGGCCGCACCCCTAAGGCATTTTGATTTAATTAGTCCCCCAGAGTATTCTTTTTGAAGCTCCCCAGGTGATTCTAAGGTTCAGCCAGAGCTTTAGGGCTGAAGGGTTTAGGGCTCAGAACCACAAGAAATAAATCATTTAATTTTCGAAATATTCAAACACCCATTTAGTACCAGATGACTTGCATATATTACTTACACTCCTCCTCCAAATCCTTAAAGGCAGTAAACAGTGACGACCAGACATTTACTGAGGGCATGCTATGCGCCAGGCAGTATTTGGAGTTTTATATCTATGAACTCATTTAATTATCATAACAACCCCAAGGCACATATTATTATCACCATCCCCATTTATGTCTGAGCAAATGAAAAGCACAGAACTGTTGGGTATTCTGTTAAACTAGTTAGAGAGAGAGGATTCAAAGCCAGGTGCTCCAAGTCCACTGTTAGTCACTGCACCATACAGCCTCCTTACAGGTGAGAAAACAGGATCAGGGGGAAGGTGATTTGTGACAGTTCTCACAAAAAGGAAGTGGCTGAGTTGTGATCTGAGTCCAGGATCTCTCTAAAGTTAGTCTGATTCAATTTTGATCCAACCACCAGCAAAAGCCTGAGAAGAGTTTCACGTGGAATTCTTCCCTGGCAGAAACCAGCTTTGTATCTCTCTTCAGCTCCCAGAAGATGGCAAGAGAGTGACATGCAAAGTGACTTGAATTTGAGCCTGGTGGCTTGGATCTGCTGGGTGACCTTGGATGAATCACTTTACATCTCCGAACTCCAGTTTTTCCTGCCTGCTAAGTAAACGGACTGAATCAAGACCCCAACCCTAGCTGAGACATGGCTGGGCAGTGACATTCACACTCTGAGGTTGTACTCGTACTTTGAAATAAGATTGTTGAGGGTAGGTTTTCTCAACCTGGATGCTACTGACAATTCTTTGTGGTGGGATCTGTTCTGTCTGTGCCTTTTAGGATGTTCACAGCATCCTTGGCCTCTACCCACTAGATGCCAGTGACACACCTTGCCCTACTCTCGTGACATCAAAAATGTTTCTAGAAATTTTGATTGACAAATGCCTCTTGGGGAGCAAAATCATCCCTGCCTGAGAACCTCTGGTCCAAGGTTCAAACAAGTCTGTTGCGATCCATGTGACTCCATTTTGTTCTCTCCCAGGAATCCAAGTGAGTTAGACTGATGGTCATATAGACATGATCACAAACCTACCCCCATTTCTATCTTCCATTCTTCTCCCCTGTCTTTAACTATAAGAAAAAAATGTACATTTTTGGAGCACACTTCAGCAAAATGCTCAGAAATCAAGTTTGCTACCTATTGTCATGAATGGTTTGTAATATAGCCTGTGGAGTAACTAATCATTGAAATCGAGTGGTAATTATCAATCCGTGTTCACTGAGCATTTATTATACGCCAGACACATTGTTATGAGATTTTATATTTATGGTTGGCATGATCTTTTTGAATTTTTTTTTTTTTTATGAGGACACCAGCTCATTCAAAGTCACACAGCTGACAAGAGCTGGATGCAAATCCGAACCTGCTGGATTTTGAACCCTGTGCATTTAATGATTCTGCTACAATGAAGGGCCCTTCTTGTGTTCAATCCCCTGAGCTATCATGGATTCTTCTGAGCTATCGCTTTCTCAGAGACAGGAATTTCTAAATGAAGATGAGCACCCAGCTAGAGCCTAGCATGCTGGCTGAGGTGAGGATGCTGGGGACAGCTCATCCATGGGAGCTTTTACTAAGATCACAGCCTGGCCATGTGGGCTCTGCCCAGGCCAGGAGACTTCAGGTCTCACATTTGTGGTGTTCTGTGGTCAGGGCTGTGAAGAGCCAGGGCCTCCTGGGGAATCCTGAGTGCCCACCTGGAGAGCCACCCACAAAACGCTCGCCAAATTTGTCAGAACCCCATTACTCTTGGCGGCGTGGCTTATGCCTTCTGGAAGGGAGGCTGAGGAGTCATCTACCATGTCACCATCAAAGAAGGAAAGTTGCAAGAAAGCCATGAGGTGTAATAAAGACCACATTAGTATTGCCAACAATAACAATGACAGTAATAGTAAAAAATACTGTCATTTGTTGAGATTGCTGGGCCCGAGGGATACAAGAACCGATTGGGTACAATCCTAGCAAGTGAGTTATGCGTTTGATTCTCTGAACATATAAACAGATCATTTTAATAAGCTGCAGCAGGTGCTGTGACAGTTGCAGGTGCTCTTGGCTGCCATGGGAGCTCAGAGGAGAAAAACACGACTAGGTAGTCAGTGAGGACTTCTGGAGGAGGTGATGCTGAGGATCCATGGTTATTTCCTCTATAGACTTGGCTTTCCTCTCCAATAGACTCCAGTCTCCATGAGAACGTGGACCATATCTATTTACACGTTGCTATATTTTCAGGGCTTAACATTGTAGTTTCAAAACTGTGCACCCTGGGGTGCCACCATTTAAAAAAAAATTTTTGAGGCGACACAGTGACATCTCTCAGACCCATGGGAACTACTAGCTCCAAGGAAGTTCACGGTTTCAGCATGAGATGGAGCGACATTCCTTTTAATGGTGCCCCATCTCTTCAAAACTGGGGGTTCCGTGATTGCTGTGCTAAAAGGCAAAAACTGTGACAAATCAACATGAAACAGGAGATGAAGGTGGCAGAGTCCGGCCTGATGCTAACGTTTGAGAAGTTCGGTGGAGCCCCACAGACGCATGCATCCCTACAGTAGTAACTGTGGTTATTTAAGAATGAAATAAAAATATAATTTTTCTTTCAATTTATGTGCATCACTTTCTCAAATGGCAACTAAGTTATCAGGATATAGATGCTTATTGAGTTGTTTGGGTCTAACTGCTCAATAAATAGAATTGTTAGGTATTTTGGCTTAGGAAATCTATGAAAAAATTCTTGAGACACTAAGGGTACCGTGATTTGAGAAAGTTTGGGAACTTCTGTCCTAGAATGTGCTTCCATGTAGGAGGTGCTTACTGAATGAATGACCAGATGACTCTCTCCCAACAACCCTGCCTGGTAGGGGCTGTTATTTTTTTCTGCAAATGAGAGCTCTTTCTTTTACCAATGCCTTACCTGTCTGTTCTTAAAGTGGCATGGGATAAATAGAATAGGAGTGAACAGACATGGCTTTGAGTCCCAGCCGGACCAAAGTACTGCCTCGGACAAGCGACCCTGAATAGAAGCTGTAGAGCAGTGGTCCTCAACTTTTTTGGCACCAGGGACTGGTACTCCTATGAGAATCTAATGCCTGATGATCTGAGGTGGAGCTGAGGTGGTGATGCTGGTGCTGGGGAGTGGCTGCAAATACAGATGATGCTTTGCTTGCTGTCCTGCTGCTCACTTCCTGCTCTGTGGCCCTGTTCCTAAAACAGGCCATGGACCAGTACCCATCCATGGCCTGGGGGTTGTGGACCCCTGCCGTAGACAACCAGAGCTTATACAGTTTTCTCTGTCCGCATCATGAGCTCATTGGTGAGAGAGCTTTGTCAATAATAAAGCACCAGAGATTTGCCCAGAAGCTGGGAATGCAGAATGATAAGGTGGGAAGGTGATGCTTTTGGGGTTCATCGAGTTTCAGTTGGAATCTTGGGTTCTTCCCTTCTCTGCTGTGTGACCTCAGGAATGCTACTCACCCTCTCTGGGCCTCCTTCGCCTGCTTCTAAGTGGACCTATATACCATTCATGCAGTTATGTGAGGGTTAAATGTGTTGATGCTGGGAGCGGGCACGACACAGCGAAGGTACCTGTCAAAACGGGGATCTTCCCTCTGTTCACTAGAGGAAGAATTTTAAAGCTGTTTTATATCTAACACGTTTTTCCTTTAAAATGCCCTCAGGACCCAGACTGCAGTCTCCTTCTCACTCCGAGCACCTCCCTGCAAGAAACTGACCATCTTCTTGCCTCACATGTCATCTCTCGTCAGCCTCGCCTGCCTGTCATGTTGCTGGCACCACATGTTGGATTCTTCCTTAGGTTTCGGAGGAGGGGCGGGCGGGGGCGCTGCAAATCTCCTGACACCCATCTTGGCTCGTGAACTCATTAGCATGAGTGTCAGGGAAGCCGTCTCCACTGAGCCCTGCAGATCCAAAGCTGAGATTTCAGGAAGAGGCAGCCCCAAAGGGAGGGAGGCGGCTTCTCGGAAAGCCTGCAGCCACTGCAGCCCAGAGTGTCTTTGGGGGCTGTGTCTCATTAGTGAAGTGTCTTTCCTTTCTTTCTTTCTTTCTTTTTTTTTTTAAATGATATCTCCACCTTTTAGTATTTTATTTTTAGTTTTTCATGTCTGAGTCTCTGCAGCTTGAATTACTCAAGCTACTTCTTCTAAGTCACTAGGAGGAAAAGGGAACTGTATTTGTTTCCTTGGCTGCCATTAGGAAGTGCCACACACTGGAGGGCTTAGAAATGTACTGTCTCACAGCTTTGGAGGCCAAGGGTCTGAGGTCGAGGTGGAGGCAGGGCCAGGCTCCCTCTGAAATCGGTAGGGGAGGGTCCTTCCTTGCTTCTTCCCAGCATCCCGTGGTAGCTGGAAGTTCTTGGTGTTCCCTTCCTTGCAAGTGTAGCACTCTGATCTTGCCTCTGTCATCACGTGACATTCTCCCTACGCTCGTGTCTCCACCTGTGTCCAAATTTATTTCCCTCTACTTATAAGGACTCCAGTCATTGGATTAGTAGCCATCCTAATCTGGTATGACCTCATCTTACTTAACTTGATGACATCTGCAAAGACCCTGTTTCCAAAAAAAGGTCACAGTTACAAGCACTGGGGGTTAGGACTTCAATATCTCTTTTCAGGAGACACAATCCAACCCATAGTAGGAACCAACCAGTGTGAGTTTGGCCCAAAGATCTAGGGACTGGGGAGGAGATGTGGCTGAGGTTAAGGGGTTGGGGCTGTAGGCTACAATTCCACTAGGATGTCCCTACATGGATTTGTACCCTGTGACCGACCCACGATGAAATAATGGCAAGGCTGGTGGGAAGGGCAGTGGACTTGGAAACCAGGGTCCTAGGTGTGACTGCTATCTCTGCCCATGAAGAAGTGCTATGACCTTAATAATATTTGCCTTTGAGTCTCAATTTCTTTTCTATACACACACAGTTATTTATTTATATATGTATTTATATAGTGTGTGTGCAAGCACAAACATACATATTCACAAATATATATAATCTGTTTAGCAATGTATTTTACACATTCAATAAATGATCATTACTGTTACCTGTTTTCTCCCCTGAGCTTTAGTTTCCCTAATATATATTCACTTACTTATATTTATGTACATACATATACATATGACACACATACATACACATATGTTCACAAATACATATAATATGCTCAGCAAAATATCTTACACAACCAAATAACAACTATTGTTATTAACTGAAGAATGGGACAGTTGTGTCTTATCTCTAAGTTACCCCTCAGTTGTATTTTATCTCCCAGATTCCCTTCAGCTCTGAAATTCTAGAACTCAGACTGAAGAGGCAGATGGGAGCACAGGGCCACGTGGTCTAGATTCCTCATTATATGTGAAAAAAGAATAATAAAGCCCCCTCTTTTCTATGCAGAAGCTTTAAATTTTGATGTAGTCCTACCTGCAGCTCCTACCTGGAGCCCGAGCTGGGTGTATCTTTACTGCAGCTGTTTATAACACAGAGATGTAAAGTATTTGTGCTGCTGACAGTTTCTAAACTCCACGTATGGTGTGAGGCTCGGTGCCTTCTGTAAGGCCGTCGGATTTCTTTAAGCCACAGTTCTGATCCCTGGCCACACATCAGAATCCTTGGGGAGCTTTAAAAATCCTCACTGCTCATGCTACACCCCAGACCAGTTGCATCAGAATCTCCACTGGGTTTTAAGACCTTCTAGGTGATTCCCAGGTGCAGTCAAGGATGAGACCCCTGGACCACGTCTCTCCCCAGATATCTGCTTCAGTGGCTCTACGTAGATGAGGCCGAAGAGAGTTTAATTGCACTCATTTAGTGTCCTGTGGCCTCCTTGATTTTAAGCAGTTAAAGAATCAGGCAGGACTATGGAAAACATTAAACGTCAGGCAGGACTATGGCAAAAAATTAAAAATGGATATAGACCTTTTGACCCAGCAATTGCACTTCTGGGTATTCATCCAAGGAAAACCAAAATAATAATTCGTAAAGATCTATGCACCCTTATGTTCATGGCAGTACAATTTACAATAGTCAAGATTTAGAAATAACCTAAATGCCCATCAACAGACAATTGGATAAAGAAGTTATGGTTCATATATACAATGGAATATTACCCAACCACTAAAAAATTGAAATACTACCATTCACAACAATATAGATGGACCTAGAGGTTATTATGCTGAGTCAAAAAGTCAGACAGAGAAAGATAAATACCATATGATTTCATTAATATGTGAAATCTAAGGAACAAAAAGAACAAACTAATCAAAAACAGACTCACAAATATAGAGGACAATCCGGTGACAGCCAGAGGGGAGGGGGGTTGTGGGGCTGGGAGAATGGGGTGAAGGGTTAAAGGAGTACAAATTAGAAGTTGATGGATGGTCACGGGGATGGGGAGCGTGGCATAGGGAATGCAGTCAGCATTAAGGTATTGGCTAGGTGGAGAGCCAGAGGAGAGAAAGAGCAATCAGGGAGATCGTTTTATAAGCTATATAAATGTCTAAACAATGTTCTGTATACTCGAAACTAATAATAAAATAAAATTAAAAAAAAAAGAAAAAAGAATCAGGTAGGTCTGGGTTTGCCTCTGGCCTCCACTATTAACTAGCTTTGTGACCTGGGGTAATGATTTCACTTCTCTGAACCGTAGTATCTTCTCTTTAAAATGTAGAGAATAATACCATGCTCACAAGGCTACTGGAGGAAGAAGAATGGGACATTTGCTAAAGGATTTAGCACAGTGTCTGATACATTTACTGTAAATGTTACGGTATCCATTCCTTCAATCCCCGTTAGCTATTGTTGTATGACAGTAATAATAAAAAACACTCCCACAGGGTGGGATGCCTCCTCCTAGCAGCCCAGCCCTCCTCCATGAATAAGAGGATGCCATCAAATCAATAAACAGGACTCACAAACACAGTGGGGCAGGCGGGAAGTCCAGATGGGAGTGCCCGTCTCGCGGCTGTAGCAGGTCAGAAGCGAGCTCCCTTCCAGCACAAAGCCGGGGTTGCACGTGTACTGGATGGTGGTGCCCACCAGCAGCACGGGATCCGAAATTAAGCGGGTTGAGTGGTCTACTTCTCCAGGATCGGTGCAGTACATAACTATGAGAGATGAAATCAGACCAAGTGGGCATTCAGCTCTTGATGGTCACAGGTTTCCTGAGAATTACAGGATGATCTAGAAAGGTTCTGAACTCAGCTCCTTTCCTGTTTGCTAGATAATGCCTCTCATCTTATCAAAGGTGATTGGAGAATAAGTTAGGATGAGAGAGATTTGAATTTCATTCCACTTTTAGGAATTTGCCCAAAGAAATGTTTGCATCAGGGCCCAAAGACCTGTGTATGAGGTTGTACATCACACCATTATTTGTAAAAAACAAAACAAAACAAAAAACTCACAAAAAACCAGTACAATGTAAACCCTTTAACAGGGGAAGAGAATGACCATTCATAAAATCCTGAGCAAGCACTAAAGAGAACAAAATGAGGCTCAATGCTTTCTTTGTAGTGCTTGATTATAGTAAAACGAGCAATCGTTACTTTTTAATTAAAAAATCAATATGGAAAAAGGCAAACAATAAAACAATTAAAAAAGAATGAAGTAGACAACAAGTACATATGAAAAGATATCTGTATATCTGAGTTGCAGTTGCAAGTAAATTTGTATAAACTGACCCCTTTTATGGTAAAATATTTATATCTGTAGCTGTTTCTATATGAATATCTGTATACATCTATATATACAATATATTCACACATGTCTCTATGTATGTATATATGTAGCATGCACACGCACAAACATGCAATTGGAACCGTATAAAATGAACTTTTAAGAATGGCATCATTTCTAGAGAGTAAGATTGTAAAGGATTTTCACTTTCTACTTCATAATTTTACTACTGCTTTGGTAATATAAGTAAATGTTTGTCATTTGAGTAAGTTTAAGTTTAAAAAAATCATTATTATTTAAAAGATTTAAAAATCATTATTATGTGATATTTTATCTTATTATTGTATATATATTAATATATGTTATATATGTAATATTTATAATAATAAAGCGTAGATCATGTGACATAGGTCACATTAATGAGTTCATGATGAGTCTCTCTAATGGCCATCCATGGCATTTCTCACTGTCCATTTTTAATTTTCTATCATCACACACACGCACACACACACACACACACACACACACCCCACATACTGTTTTGAAACAAATAAGTTCCGTTTATGTAGCTGATTTTTGTGGATTTTTAGCAAGTTCTTTTATGTTTCTCACCATTATAAGTAATTTTCCTTGATGTCAGAATATTTGTGATGGGGATTGTATGTGACCCCGCACTTCTTCCCCCAAACTCTCTTTCTACGAGTCGGCCCTCGTATCTGCGGGTTTCATATCCATGGAGACAACCAACCGCAGACTGAAAACAGTATTTTCTGACAGTATGCATTGTGCTACACCATTTTATACAAGAGACTTGAGCATCTGAGGATTTGGGGATCCGCAGGGGTGGGGTCCTGGAACCAAATCCCGTGGATACAGAGGGATGACTGTATTTGTTATTGTGCAATTGCTGATTTAAGTCATGCTGGCCAGGTCTGCCCAGGTACCGTCAAGGAGTCCCAGCAGGAGGGCTGTGGACTAGAGCTTTGCCTAGGAGGTGGGAGACCAACAGCTGGGGGAAGAGGCTACCTCAGAATTTAGCTCCTGCCCCTGCTGCTAAGGCACCAGTGCAGAAACCAGAAGCCCCTCCTTTTCCGCTCCTTTTCAAGACACAGACATGCCTGGCCTGCACTCCTGAGGAGGGCAGCTGGAAGGAACTGGGAGACTGGGATGGATGCTGTCTGGATAAGGTCAGCTACCTACCATAGGGGTTTTGAGCTGGGGTTCCAAGGTCCAACCTAATTTGTTTTGCTTGGCTACCACAGGGATTTTAAAGACCTGAATTCGGATGATGTTTTTATACAGGCTAAATACATTCCCCATCATCACAGTCCACACCATTCCCTATTGTCTGACACGAGTCTGTTTCACTCATTTGCATTATCTGCCAGGCTTCTGAAGGTACCTAGTCTGAGGTCCTTGCCCTAGGGCTACAAAATGACATGTGTGAGCAGCACCAATGAGTTGGTGAAGTAGGAAGAAGGCCAGATTCTACATTAAATAACTCCACTATATCCATGCAAAGAAGACAAAAATAAAAATAAAGCCCATGGAAGGGATTTATCACCCACTGACCTAGAGGAAGAAAACAAGACTATGCTTACTTTTCTCACAAAATGGGGGGTCGCTGCTCCAGCTGAGGTCCCACTGGCAGGTGAGGGTGTCGCTTCCCACGATGTCGTAGCCAGGGTCACACTGGTAGGTGATTCTGGCTCCCCTCACAAGCTCTGTATGAGAAGTAGTTTTCCAGCCGTTCTGGATCTCGGGCAAATCTGAGCAGGAGTCATTCCTTGACACCTCTTTAAAACAAAAATATCATCCTCAGATGGGGAGGTGGCCTTTTTGTTTGGGGTTCCCTTTTATGAACGTGAGAATAAATAGTAAATAGAAGAAAACCTTCCGGAAATAAGTAGCACACGTCCCAACCCCCTTAAACTTCAAGAAGTCTTCTATAGTGAGATTTTACAATGACCTCTTTCTATGGGTCATCGAACTTGCCAAACATTCTCTTGGTTTGATAAAGTCAGCTTAGGATTTGGGGTCAGACAGAACCCTAACCCTGCTACTTACTGGCCATGTAACCGGGGACAATCACTTTTGTCTGTGTCTCAGGTTCCTCACCTTTCATGAGAGCATAGTCATCCTCATGCCTGCCTTGTTGTGGTGGCCAGATTCCAAGAGGTCCGCCCCGCCCCCCACCCCCATCATTCTTATTTCCTGGAATTCACGTTCTTGTGTAGACCGCCAACACTGACTAGGGCTGGTGTGCGTAACCAATAGGCTATTGCAAAAGTAATAATGTGTGACTTCTGAGGCTATGTCATAAAAGTTGTTGAGGTTCTCTCTCTCTCTCTCGCTCTCTCTCTCTCTCTCTCTCTCTCTCTCTCTATGTCTGTCTGTGTCTGTCTGTCTCTCTCTGTCTTTGTCTCTATCTCTGTCTCTTTGTTTCTCTCTGTCTCTCTGTCTGTCTCTCTTAGTTTTCTCTGCAGGAAGCAGGTGCCATCTTGTGAGGATGCTCAAGCAGCCCTCTGGAGAGATCCCCATGGGGAGAATCTGAGGCCTCCTGGCAACAACTGGCCCTGATTTGCAACCACAGAAGCGAGCCATTTGGGAAGTGGATGACTGCAAGCTTTTAGATGACTGCAGCACTGGCCAAAATCTTGACAACAACCTCATGACAGACTCTGAGCCAGAACCACCCAACATTAACTTTTGAATTTCTGACTCACAAAACCTGTGACATAATAAGTGTTCATTGCTATTTTTTTGGGGGGTGGGGTGGAAGGGGTAATTTGTTATACAGCAATAGGTAGCTAATTACTATCAGCCTCATCCTAAAAATGTCTGTAGATCCATGTTTGATGGATTAGTAATGTATGTTTGTAACTCATATTAAGATATATACTTAATTATTAAAACACAAATAATTATTAGTGCATTCTTCAAATCACATTGCATGTCATCTGTGAACATTAACCACACTTTAGAAAATGGTACACACAGCTTGTTATCACAGAGTCTTCCTCTGGAATAATTCAGTTTCTCTTCTGCAAATCCTCATTTCTAAGGGAGTATTCCAAAGCCCACTATTACTATTCTTGCTTCCAAGTGCCCACTGCATAGATTTTGAGAAAGTGCTAATTATTCCATATAATTAATTTGCAGTTCTTATGTGCTTCTGGGGAGAGCAAAGCACCTCCACTGCAGAAAAGTCATTCTGAGAAACAAGCAATGGCTTTTCCCGGGATTTCATCATGGTTTTATTTGGAGACAGGAGATCTCATGGGTGTCTGCAAGAAGTAGGGAAGAGGGAGATGGCTTCTAGAATTGCTTGGTGGGGAACAGGAGCCTCTATATTTAGGCCTTTGAAGAATCAGCCAAGCCCTGGATTTAGGACACAGCTGCAAACTGTGGATGAAAGGGAGAAATGGGGGCACATACTGGCCATGGGGTCTGCCTTGTGCCAAATGCTTTGAGACTCAGAAAGCTTTGCTTGTCTGCCTTCAATGAGAGCCAGCATTCCTGTGGGACCTCCTGTCTGCTTTGTAGCAGTCATCGAATTTGTGATTACTCAGTTGTCACCACCATATAGCAAAAACTTGACTTAAATCTTGGCCCCACTCTTTATAAATTTGGTGGCCTTGGCTAAGTCACTTCAACTTCCTGTCCTTCAGTTTCTAAACTCCACTCCCAGAGACTGTGATTCAGGAATCTGCATGTTCACCAAGCATATTAGGTGGAGGATCCAGAATTATCTGTCGCTCTGGGCCTTTAACTTTGCTAAGAATGAAAACACTGGCCTAGAAGTTGGAAGACTTCCCTTCTAGTCTTCTTTCTTTCTTTTAGAAGACGTGTGGCTCCAGTCATGTCAATAAACACATCCGATCCTCATTGTCCTCAATCATAGAGACACAAGTCATGACCCTGGTTTATTCCTAAGGGCAATGCGAAAGCTAATTAATGTGCAGGATACACTAAGCTAATTAATGTGACAGTAACACTAAGATGAGTTACATGGATTCATTGATTTGTTTGACAGGTTTTGTGAGTACTTACTATATGCCAGCTGCTAGGAACACAAAAATCTGAAGTCATGGTTCCGGTCTTATGGTCAAGATCAGCAACATGGTCTAACTCGTGGGCAAAAGAAATACCTAAATGCACTGAATACGTGCTGTTATTTACCAGTCTTATGCTCATGGCAGATATCACTAATTGATCATAGCAGTCTCTTTCTTTGAATCAAGCTGAAACCCCCCAGTCTTTCTCAATACAGCATTCCAGGGAGCCACTGTCATTTGATTGGAGTTGACCTACAATATAGAGCTTATTTATTACCCTAGGATTAAAGGAATAAATACAATAGTGATCAATATCTCTGAGAAACACTGCTTATTCATCTCTGCTTCTTTATGCTCTTCCCTCCCATGCACTTGGCCAAAGACACTAGCAAAGCACAAGAAGCAGTGATGAGAATTGGTCTTTGCTTCTATCTTTGCAAAGAAGAATTGAGGTCAGAACTATGCAAGCTCAGAGTGTTCCTAGGAAGGTTCTGACAGCAATCATAGCAGATAAGCCTTGGCTACCTTCCAGAGCTGGAGTTTAGGCCTTGAGATCAATTTAGGAGCCTCAGAATTTCTCTAGATGGCCACAGAAACCCCTGATCCTTCCATCTGGTTCAGAGGAATGGGAATTGCATCTGTGTCTGGTTAAATCTAGACCTAGAATAGCAAATACCTTTCCCATGCCATGGCAGTCATCAGTAATCAATCATGGCATTCTTTCCCACTGACTTCAGGTGTTGCCTATTCTGAATTCTTTTCAACATGGTCTTCAACATAGGTGGTCACAAGCACTAGATTGGCATTGAAATTAAGTACAGAAGCTCGTTTGCCTTCCCTGTCAAATTAACTGTGTGTCTTTAAGAGAAGTAAGAATAAAGGGAAGTGTTCTGTGTTATCCACGTTAGCTGGGCTGTGTACCCCTGGGAAGCGGTCTCTGAAACCCCATGCTTGCCTCGCCCATAGCATCAGTACATGACCCTGACATTGTCTGTTAACAGACTGCCTCCTGATTTTCACTAGCTGGCTCAAGGGCAGGGAGAGTATTCCTTCTTAGATCCAGGTGTTCAGTGCAGGGAGTGGCATATAGGAAGTGTCAAGAGACTTTTGTGAACAAAACTGTCTGGAAAACAAAGATAATGCATTTGAAGATGAAATAAAATAATATGTGTAAGAGTGCTCACCAACTTCAAATTGTCACACAAATCTAAGTTTCAGCTTCAATTAACAAAAGCACCTCCTCAAGATGTTGCCAAAATAAACATTGGCCAGACTTTCTGGTTAACCTTGGGCAGCCTTGGATGGAGTTAGATTTCTGCCGTCAAGCTGAATGCAGTTTTGGAAGACTGACTCAGGCACCAAAGGAGACAAATGAGCAAAACTATGACCTCATCTTCCAGTAGGAGGGAGGAGAAGTCTAAGAAGGTAGATTGAAGCCAAGTCACTAGAACCTCTCCCGTCAAAAGCAGATGACTCTAGAGGGCACCTTGCCTGAACGGCCAGCATGAGCTGTCCCCATATGTCCAGGACACCGCCCAGTAAAGAGTGGGGAACCTATGCAAAGTAGCAGCAATAACACTGAAAATACTTTGTGAATCAATCAGGGTAAAAAAGGTCTCTGAGAAACATAAAAAAAAGAAGATCAACACTCATGTTTGCTTCTCTGAGAGTTGCATGTAGAGCAGGCAGGGGTGAGAAATATCCACCAGCTGGAAACAGAAAAAGCCAAGGGACTTATTTCACATACATGAGGCTCCTTTACACAGTCAATGGTCAGGGAAGTGGCTTGTATTTTAGAGGCGGAAGGTGGCACAGAGAGAACACTGTATATTAGATTGAAATGGGCAAATCTTCAAGCTGAGGGGAAGAACTGAAGACACAGAATCTTGCTCCAGCCAGAGGGTCTTTGGCGGTGGAGGTGGGAGCAGGAGACTTGGCAGGATGAATCCACCTTTTCCTTGTTCCATCCTGGAAATCAAGATGTCAACCTTGTTTCTGGGAGGTGCAAGCACATCTCCTAATTACTGGTGAAATCTTGTCCATTGAAATTCTCAGGGTGCAACCACCCGCCATGCTGGATGCCAAAAGGAGTTAGGTTTTAACTACCCCCGTGTGTCTCCCAGGTTCTCTGGAAGAACGCTGGGATGGAAAATCCCTAAGAGCTGGGAGCCAGGAAGCCTGACTGTGACTCTCAGGTGTGATCTTGATGAGTAAGCCCCTTATCCTCGGTGGTCCAGGGCTGCTTCTGCTGTGAAATGACAGGGCTGAACCAGAGCTCTGTCAGTTAAAGTTCCTTCTGGGGACAGGATCAGTGGGACTTCTCAGTATTTCACTCCCTCAACTGCTCGGAATGACTGCAGTTTGGACTGGGGTGGTGGCCATGGAAAGATGGGGAGAAGTGCTTGGATCTGAGACATCCTGTGGAAATAGAGTTGAAAGGATGGATTGAATATAGGGGCAAGAAAAGAGGAAGCAGCCTGAGAAACCAGGCGAGCTGTGCTTCCATCTCCTGGGCTGGGCAGAGAGCAGGAGAAGCAGTCGGGTAGTGGTGGTGGGGGTGGGGGGTAGAGAAAGAACTAGTTCTGTTTTGGCGACATGAAACGTGAAATCTGAGATGTTAATCAGACATGCAAGAGGGTACATAGGGAATTAGATGGACCTGGAGTTCACGGGAGAGTTCAACGTTGGACATACAAATTAGTGGCAGTGGAGTATAATAGGTATTGCTTAGAACCAGAGGACTGAATGAGAGCCCATAGATGAGGACAGAATCCAGGATGGAGCTTGGGACCCTCTGGTATTTAGAGGTTGAACAGAGGAGGGTGATGGAGTCAGTAATGAATAAAGGGAATTTACAGGATGGAGAGCGAAGAGGGAAGAGAGTGAGTGGGCAAAATAATAGGAAGTGGGTACTGGATGGCCAAATGTAAACTTAGCTTGAACTTAATAGCAGGCTTTTTTTTTTTTTAAGACGAAGGGGAGATAAATAGTTTGGAAGCCACACTGAGGACCAAGGAAGACATCTCTAAGTCCTAAAGTACGGGACGTGGAGAGAAAGGGCTGTCTCCACCAGATGGGGCTAGGGAGAAGTTGAGTCCTTTGGAGAGAGCTGAGCTTCAGTTCAGGCAAGACGCAAATATAAAACAGTGTTGACGATATAAAGTTCTAGCTGACTACAAATGAAACATGATGAATCTTAAAGTTATAAGGCTGTATCTACTAAGTCCTGATATCAACCTTGTCAGGTAGATTATCACTATTCCCATTTTACAGACAACAAAAAGGAGGCTCAGAGAGGTTAAGTGACTTGCCCAAGGTCACACAGCCATTGATGACAGTACTAGGACTCAAACCCTGGTCCTTCTGACTAGAGAGCTTAAGCTCTTAAAAACGACATATATTTACTGTGCCAATATACTCAAAGACCCGTGTAACACAGTCCCCCCAATAAAAGACATATCTCAAGGATATTGTCTTAACCTACATCTAAGCATGAAGAAAAAAAACCGACCAACAGACACCTACCGATGTAGTTTATGATAAATCCCTGGCCCTTTCCAAAGATAAGGCCAGCAGGGTCCGAGTGGAACTGGATGGTCAGGTCTGGTGTGGACGAGTACAGCTTCTGGGGGCCACTGTTCCCAAGATACTGCCCCAAGATGTGGGGCATGACCTCATCACCGTCGTAGATGGTCAGGATGTCGCTGTTGCTCAGATTCAGGCTGGGGGCGGGGACAGAGAGAAGAAGGGGGTTTGTGAAGCAAAGTTATAGGTGTTCGACATGCCTTTGATTTATTTATTTTTTTCAGGTAACACACACTTTTTTGAGACATACTATGTGTCAGGCCCCAGGCTAGTAAGGTAGGCATGGACTCCAAATGTGACCGAGAGGTGCTGATTCGCCCTGCAAGGCACAGAGATTGGTGAGTGGATTGGGCTTTTGAAGACTCAGCCGTGTAATTGTCTTCCCTGCATGGAGCTCATTGCAGAGTCAAATGCTGGATTATAAGTAGAATTGCCTTCAATATCCCCGTCATCAACAACCATTTCATGGGTGAAACTAAGCATTGGGCACTGGGCTACATACCTGGGTCTTTCATTCTTCTTTGATGCAGCAACCTGATTGCTTGCTAATTGCCATTCGCATTTTCATGTAAGGTGAAATTATCCTTCCATTTACCATGCGGATAATTCCTCAAAATCAAAAGGGTTATCTATTATGTTTAGGCAGTGGTGCAGAGGGTGGGTTGCAAACCCCTTATTCATGAAATACAGCTCAAGCCTGCTATTGTTGCTTATTCATAGCAATTCAAGGAGGATGCATTTTCAAAGATTCAAATGAAACAAAGTACCTGGACACTAAATATTATACTGCAATGGACAGCTAATAAACCAGAAAGGACTTCAGTATGTCACAGAAATGTGTGCCATGTCAGTTGTGCTGGACAAAATTGGTCTCTGATGAGAAGAATGCCAGCTTGCGTTATCGTAGACAGATATTAACTCATGTCTCTTTTCTTCCTTTCTCCTCATTCCCCTCTCTGTCCTCCTTTTCTCTCTTACATCTTTCTTCTTTTCTTGTGACTCTCTCCCTAAGATTTTTGAGCACCTACTATGTGCCAGGCATTGTGCTGTGCTCAGAAGACGTGAGGAGTCACGGAGCAGTGGTAAATTTAGACTAAAAGCCAAGGATTGTAGTAGGAATTATGATCAAGGTAAGTGCAGAGGAGGGAATCAACTCAGATTGGGGGCATCAGGGAGGCCTCCCCGGAGGAGGTGGTGCTTGTTCCCAATTACCAAGAAAGTATAAGGGGACACGAGGCTATAAGCAAGGGGTGGGGAGAAGGCAAAGCATGGGGCAGAGAAAGAAGGGAGGGAGGTCAGGGCTCCTGAAGGAACTTGCCTGGTCGCAGTACGTGGGCGTGGGTATAGACATGGGAGCCTGGAGAGATCTGCAGAAGTCAGACCATGAAGGGCTTAGAGAACCCAGTTTAGGCATTTGGATATTATCATGCTGGGGATGGGAGACAGTGAAGGGTTTTAATCAGGAGCCTCTTGACTGAGCAATTCAGTGCCAGAGGAGAGGCTTCCAGGAAACGGCCCTGAGTGAAGTTCCTGGAACTGATGCAGACTGACAACAGTCCCCTCCCCGCTGACAGCTTCATCCAGCTGAAGCACTGTTTGCTGGTCTGGGAGTGGAGAGAAGGGGTGGAAACCGCCAGTGTTGGGGCTTCAATGAGTAAGAACGAAACAACAGAAACACAAGGTAGCTGCCGAAGGTTTGTTTCCAGAATGAAAGGGATGTATTTTATTCTTCTTTTTATAGCAAAATATCCTCCATAGCATCTCTCACAATTCCTCATGTAAAGTTGTCCTAATGGATGACTTAGGGAGACTCTAATTGCCCCCATAATCTCCATCGGCTACCCCTGCACCAGCCCCCAAAACATCCCCTTCTAATAAAAGCTCTCTGCTTGCTTTGTACACATGGCTTCAAGACAAAGTCCCTGAACTCCTTCTCCTCTCTGTCAGCTTCCAAGCAGGCTACAGCCTCTACACCCCTATTGTATCGGAATTCTGGAGCTGCCATCTTCTCTTGCACACAATAGGAGTTCAATACGTGCTCTGGTATGAAAGAGCTTTGCCAGGTAGTCTGTTTGACAGCACAAATAGTGGGGTTGATGTCAGCTCTCAACCTATAGTAGGGAAGAGCCTCTTAACTCTAAGTACCATGAAAATATCAATAGCTCATGAAAGTGCTGGATTAGGCTAGTGCGAAACATGGTAGATGGCAGATATTTATTCCTTAAGCTGACTTCACAGCCGATCCGCTGGGAACAGTGGGTTCCAGACAGCACACAACTTGGCTTTATTCTATCATTCATTTCAATGATCTAAATGCAGTAGAATCATCTTCAAGGGTGAAAATAGCTTTCATTTTAAACCCTCGCACAAGTCTTTGTTCTTTGTAAAACAGGAAGGAGCAGTGTGCAGGAAAGAGCACCCTGCCTTGGAAATCAGAAAGCTTTGGTTTGATTCTTGGCTTTGACACTTTCGTGGAGGATATGTGGTCTTTCTGAAGTTCTTTGTCTGTGAATCGAGCTTACTATTTCCAGCCAATGTCATGGGGTTTTGGAGGGAGGTAAGGCATGCAGAAGGTCTGGGATCAAATTCCAGGTTCACTGACAGCACCTGAGCAAGTTTAGTCAAGTCATTTGAACGGTATGTCATGTTGCAATGTTATCACCACCACCATCACCACCACCACTACCATCATCGTCACCATCATCACCATCATCGCCACCATTATCATCCTCTCTTTGGATTGTTGTTTACACCAAATGACATCAGAGGAGTTATGTTAGTGATTCTCGACTAGGGGTGGTTTTGTCCCCTAGGAGACATTTTGGCAATGTCTAGAGACATGGTTGTCCCAACTATGAGTGGTACCACTGGTGAGTTGATATCAGGGATACTGTTAAACATCTTATAATGTACAAGATAGCCTCGCACAACAAAGAACGATCTGGTCCAAACTGTCAATAGTTCTAAGGTTGAGAAACTCTAATTTATGTGAATGCATTTTATAAACAGTGTGCAACAGAATATTAAATACAACTTCTCCTGCTGTTCTAGAATTTTAGCAGATGTCCTAAGCTAAGGATAAGCCAATAGGTACTGAACATTTTTACTTTCTAAAGGGATATACCTGGCCGTTGATTGAGTTTGGGTTCTCCAGAAGCAGAGCCTGAATGAAGATGTGTGTCCCTTGGAGTTTGGCTTATCTGGGAGGCCACCCCAGGCAGCACTGGTGGGCAAGTGACGTAGGAGGAAGGGAAGGGGTCAATGCATGGTGCATCGATGGGCAAGGTGCGCTGAGGGCACTGGGCTCAGTCCTGCAGGAACCGTGAGAGGTAGTGCAGAACACATCTCGGTGGTGCAGAGAGGAAGCTTGGGTATTTATCCTCTGACTCCCATCACTCATTGGCCGAGGGCTGCTCTTAGGGGTACTGAATCTCCAGCTCTTTTGGCCTGCCTCCGGGGTATCAGATAAAGCCTTCAGGTGGAGAGGTTTGCAGTAGGAAGCCATCATGGGTGCAGAGTGACAAGTGCCACAGGGCTCAGATAGGGTATTAATGGTACCTGCTACCATTATCTAAGCAGATCCTCTAGCTTTCCCACCTCTAGCTTGCAGAAAGCAAAAAGTACACTGGGCCATCATAGAGGTTTGCAGGAAGACTGCCTCGAGGGAAGCATCACTGTGGGAGGGAGATCACCCTCACCCTAAGCCTGGTGAAGAGGGTGTCAAGGGAACTCTAATGGCTTGGCAGGTATCTTTGGGGTTTGGAAAACAGTGGCTGCATTTGATCGCTCACTAAGAGAAGGATAACAATAAAAATCAGTGTGGAGCGGCCGGGGAAAGAGCCGAGAGAGGAAAGGGGCTGTTGGGAGTGAGCCGCCGATCCCTGATGAGAGTGGGGATAAGACATGTTTCCCGGGTCTCAGATGTGAACCCTGAAGAAGGCAGCCACTGTGGGTGTCCTTAAAAGCATTCCCATCCTGAAAGGGGGCTGGGACCCAGCAGAGGGGAAAGTCAAGAGCAGCCAGGCACAGCAGGCTTTGCTCACATCAAGTACCCCTTAAGAAAGAAAGAAAAAATCAATATGTTATATCTTCCGTAGCATAACAGTGTTGACAATTTAGGTTTTCCTGTGAGAAGGAAGAAGCCCTCCAGGCCCTTCCTCACCACAGAAATCCTAGCCTGAGGAGCCCTGCCCAGGGAGGGGTGAAGTTTTCAAATGAATAACATTTACAGCTATCTGATTATTAGATTGAACTTTCTATGTTATGACCAGAAGAACGAGGAGAGCTACACTTTCATCCTGAGAAATAAACAAAAAATGGAGAATGTGCATGAAACGGCAGTGGGAGAAAGAATAAATTTACTCTCTGCTATATCCTTGTTGATCCATCTTTGTGATCGACTAGTCCCAACGATATACACAAATGCTGGTAATTTACCAGCCCACTCCCACCCCCCCAGTCTTAAGAGAAGCCTGAATCTTCACTTGCCCCATCCGGCTGTATCTGATACACAGTGCTTTCAGCCCTAAGGAAAATGCAAAGACTTGAAACGCAGCAGAGAGATTGGAGATTGGCCACAGGGCAGAGTGAGGCTTTCTGCAAGGAATGAAGTGAGATGTCAGGCAGATAACAGTCCGAGGAGGTGCTGAGAAATCAGGATGGTGGTTTGACACCAGAACAAAGGGGAGATGGAGCGGTGCTGGCAGGCGGGTGGGTTTGCTCTGACTGGACGGGGTATAGCCGGATCCCCTCGGGGAGAATTCCTCAGGAAAACAGAGTTCCCCATGGCCAGCCTCCGCCTGCTCCAGTCCGTCTTAGCTGCCAGAGGGAAGGGCTTTCCATGGGCACAGGGTTTTGAGCTCCCGACAGCAGATCTGCTTCTGTGTCTTCCACACTTCAGTTCATCCCTTTCTTCTGGGTCATTGCTATCAGCTTTTCTCTACTGTCTTCCAGTTGGACTGTGGGACAGCATTGCCTACTGACGCTATCTTTGCCTGACCCCAACTCCTCTCCCATCAGCAGCCATATGACTCCTTCTGAAACACAAATCTGGCCCCTTCACTCAACAGATGAATGGATAAGCCAAACGTGGTCCATACATACCATGGAATATTATGGAGCCACGAAAAGGGAAGTA